TTGGAGTAGACAATGGGCAAGGTGACATGGGTGAGCGTATAGGCCTCGCCATGGGAGGCGGCTGTATCTCATTTTCACTGTCCATGCTATCATCATCAGTCAATTGTGTGTAGTCTTTATCAAGGTCAGAGTCATCAAAATCACTTTCCTCACCATCAGAAAATAATTCACTGGTTATTTGCTCTTGGGCGAGTGATTGCGTGGTGCGCGCCCGGGAAGCGTTCGGCCGTGTGCTCGATATGGTGGCTGCTGGGTAACTGATACCTCCTACGCGATGGTAGTGTGAGCTGGATTTTTTTTACAAAATGGTGGCTGTTTACTATAGCCCCTGGGCAGCGTATGGAAGTCCCCCTCTACCCCGTGGGCCTTTCAAATCTTGCGCGGTACTCCAATACATCATATGATGTAGAGTGCAAGTTACTGCAAGTCACTCAACACATCATATGATGTGTTGCGCAATTAAAGGGTTAAAGGCAGATTCCTTGGCTAACTTATCAGCTATTTACATTTGAAAACAAAGTTTTTACTGTACCTGTATTTAAATTATAAAACATTAATGTTTATCAATGCATCTCTCTGAATTACATAATTTATTGGAACTGTAAAGCCTGTATTGCCCACCTGGCTGGACACCAATGCATTGGAGGTTTTCATGTGTCCGGACACTGGCGACGGTGTAGAATTTGCTATTTATTTAACCATATCTTGGCTTTCACTTAAGATATATTTTCCTTTGAATGTAGTCACATTTTTTTTTTTTTTTTTTTTTTTTTTTTTTTTTTGAGATATATACAAGAGTTGTTACATTCTTGTACAGCCACTAGTACGCGTAGCGTTTCGGGCAAGTCCTTAATCCTACGGTCCCTGGAATACGATCCCCTGCCGCGAAGAATCGTTTTTTCATCCAAGTACACATTTTACTGTTGCGTTAAACAGAGGCTACAGTTAAGGAATTACGCCCAGTAAATCCTCCCCGGCCAGGATACGAACCCATGACATAGCGCTCGCGGAACGCCAAGCGAGTGTCTTACCACTACACCACGGAGACTGCCTAATCATCTAATCATCTATCATCTATAATCATTATCATCTACATCTGTCTTTATTCTGACATATAGACCTTTAACAGTACTTTGCATATATGCAAATGAATTACACAACTGATTGGCTTGTGTATGCAAGCTTTCACACTCCCTGTGCTAGCCATCAAGTAACTATAAAAAGGCATATATCTTCACTTTCACTTCAGTTATATTTATGCCAAAGTACAAACATGCAGCTTTTATTTCTGTCTTTAAGATGACATAGAAAACTTCGTTTATTACAATATCTAGATTAAATTGACATTGATCTTCGAAAGGTCGTAGTTCCAATCGATAAGGAAAGCTTTGGCCAAGAAACCTTGTTTAAAATATGAATATCTTTCCTCTCTAATAAAATATAATCACTGTGATGGATTCACAAAAACTATTTTATCTCTGCTTTTCTGATAACATATACAAATATAAGCTTTATTTGTGAATCTATTAATTGAGCAATATATCAGAGAGCGTGTAGGGTTCGGTGTTCTATGAGCGAAATGGACATGAGTAGTTTAAGCAGCGAATGGATACCAATGAACAACGTTAGTATCTATATAACAAAATTATTGTCCTGTGGAGTTTATTTAACTTCCAGACACATTTATTTTTAATAAATATTAAATGTTTTGTGGCTATTTATGAAATATATTATTACAATTACGCATTCTACTTGTTAATATCACCAATTAAATTTGCAACAATTTAAGCAAAGAAGTACGACGACTGGATCACTGTGTACAGGAGGCTGATATGCCAGCAAACAATCTCCAGGCAATCATATATCTTGGATAAGTCGCTCCACAACCTGCTACATATTTACTTCTAATTTTGTTATGAAATTAGATTATTTCAGAGTAAAAACAGGTTTGATCATGTTCTGCATTCAGTACCAACATTATAATGAGTAAATAAACTATATTTCTTCATTACTTATGTAATACTAGCAGGATTTGGGTAAATTTGGGTAATTCTACGAACCCTGTGAGTGAACAGCCTGGTGTAGAGGATGGTGTTATCTACCCTACCTGTGCTGATTCCAGTTCTATTTTTGTTCCAGTTGTCAGTTTTGTCACTACCAAGGTAACTGTTCCAGAGATCAGTACCCCTTCGGAGGTGAAGTAGGAGGTGGATTTTCAGGATTCATGTGTGGCCAACCTGGTTGTCGAGAGTGAGTTAGTTGTAGAGACTTGCCCACTCGCTCCAGATTGGCTTTGTCATTGTCATTGTCTAATGACAATGGACATTGTAAAGCCAATTAGTCATTGGCTTTATGTAAGTTAAGTAGAACTGACCCAGAGATGTCAGAGAGTAGCAAGAAGACAGTCTGTGATGTAGGTCCATTGTTGGAGAGCGTGGGAAATCATTCAGATCAGCTTCTGGCGAGCGGATAGAGACATATTGCGTCTCCCTCTTCAGTTGTTTGTAAGGGTGTGATACAGCTTCATAGGTTTAATGATTGTAAACAGACAGTACTCCAAGCATCTCCAGATTATGTCATGGGAGTACAAGCCCTACCCATCAACATTGGTGTTCCTCAGGGCAGCATACTTGGCCCTCTCCTCTTTCTCATCTACATTAATGACCTTCCAAATGCCTCCCAACACCTCAAACCAATTCTATTTGCTGACGACACAACCTTCATTTACTCCAGTCCTGACCCCCTTGCTCTAAATGCCACAGTAAATACTGAGCTAGAGAAAGTCCATCTTTGGCTAACTGCCAACAAACTCGCCCTTAACATTGACAAAACGTTCTATATTCTGTTTGGCAATAAATCCTCCAATCAAATAAATCTCAAAATAAACAATACCCAAATTTATAACAAATTAGCTGGCAAATTCCTTGGCGTTCTCATCGACCACAAGCTGAATTTCCAGGGACACATTCTAAATATATCAAAAAAAGTTTCAAAAACTGTTGGCATTCTTTCTAAGATCAGATATTATGTACCCCGCCCTGCCCTGGTGACTCTCTATTACTCCCTCATCTATCCATATCTCAACTATGGTATTTGTGCTTGGGGTTCTACTACCCAAAACCATTTACGTCCTCTAATTACTCAACACAAAGCTGCTATTAAGACAATATCCATCTCTAGCCCCAGACATCACTCGGTACCCCTACTCAAATCTCTGAATATGTTGGATATTAAGTCACTGCACATTCTCTCATGTGTATTATACATATATAAAACGCTGAACTGTAATGCCAATCCTGACCTCAAAAGATTCATTGAAGGTTGTAACAGAACCCATGAGCACCACACCAGAAATAAATACAGTTTTGATATTCCTAGAGTACGACTTAATCAAACTAGAAATGCTCTTCAAATCAAGGGACCCAGAATGTGGAATGATCTTCCCAACCATGTTAAAGACAGTACCTCTCTCAACCAGTTTAAGATAAAAACGAAGCACTACCTAATAAATTCCCTGTAACCTACCTTACCCCTCTGTTGTCAACCCATGTATGTTTTTTGTTTTTTTTTCAAAACGACGCCATTTGAATGTAATTGTCTGTAATAATTTGTAATTGTATTTGTGCTGCTTTTTCAGCCATGTTCCTCCCTCTTTTACCTCTATTTTTATTTGTTCTCAACACATTTTATTTTTTTTACCCATTAATATTAAGCTTTAGTCATTAATGATTTTCCTGCCCGAAACGCTTGCGTAATAGTGGCTTTAGGCATTGTATGTACTAGCTCTATCTATTAATCCAACAAACTTTGTAAAATCTCTTTATGTATGTACCTTACCTAAATAAACATTTATTTATTTATTATTTATTTAATTTGGTAAAACTTGTGTAACTATTAATATTGGTAACATTTCTCGTAGGCCTAAATTGCAGAGTGTTGTGGCCAGTTATTCTTATTCCAAGTGGATTCTGTGTTTATCATCAGATAATTTGAGTCAGAGTGTTCTAAGGGCTTTATTGTAATCTATTGTTGTACCACAGGAGCCGTTCTCCCTTGTAGTAATGGACTGTGGGATATCTTTGTCCAGCACTGTTGTTGAGCAGAGAGAGTTTACTCCAATGAATTGTACGCCAGATGTCTTGAGACAGATGTGTAGGATTCTAGAGCAGTATCTTTTATTTTACATCTAATATATTACCTTACTGCAAGTGTAGTTAACAAAATTTGTGTTAAGTTCAAGTGTTGTACTAACTTTCAGAGTCAAAGTGGTGTTGAAGGATTTTGCCCAACTTTGAAACACTGGAACCCCACAATTCATTTAGCTAAGCAAGTTACACTCTTGATGGACTAGTTACGAAATTCAATTCACATTGTCACATCAAAAATGGGCTCGAGACCGACCACAAGTACAGTTTCTAAATTAAGCAACTGACTTACATGCAGAGCTACTGTCACAATTGATATGTTTGTCTTGCACACACCCCACCCATCCAGTGGGCAGCGGTGGATAGATTACAATCACTCAATTACTACCTACAGTTAGCAAATTGGGGATATATGGCTAAGATTTCTGGTAGCAGATCATTCTGAATAAAATATTTACAAATCTCCAGAACATTTGATATAGAATTGTCTCTGAATTCAGTTATCGTTTCGCACTCCATCACATAGTGACATAGGGTGTGCGAATAATTTTGTTGACACAATTTACATTTGGTCAGGTCTACATCACGAGATAATGAAAATTCCCTGAGATACTTATACCCCAAGTCCAAGCCTAGCAGTAGTAACATCTATAGGAGTCTGCTGATTTTATTGGCTGATCCATAGATGTGTGGCTCTTCTTGCAGGACAGTACAATGATAGATGGAATTACTGATGTGAATCGTATTTTAACATTCGTCATCTTCCTCGCTGCAACTATCATAACTCCCAGAAAACCCCTTTATCATAACAATAAAAGGTCCCGACAAGCAAAAACAGTAAGCTATGGTACTCGCCTTTGGATGCTTTTGGCTTGAGGTCCTTGGCTTCATGGATGATGATATGGAGCGTCAGTCTGGGTGGCTGAGGAAAGAACACATCTCCATCAGTATCAAAGTTAACCCACATTGAGAAGTGTGCGATGGCCACATTAGATCTCATAAAAAGAAACTTGCCAGGAATGTTAAGGGGAAGACATACAAACAGAGAGAGACAAACAGACAGAGAAAGACAAACAGGGAGAGAAAGGGAGGGGGAAGAGAGAGAGATAGGGAGTGTGTGTGTGCACGAGAGAATTATGTAATTACCTAAGTGCAGTTACAGGATGATAGCTACGCTCGTGGTGAACCGTCTTCCCAGTACTCTGTCATATAACGCTTTGAAACTACTGATGGTTTTGGCCACCACCTTCTCATTAAACTTATTCCAACTGTCTACCACTCTGTTTGCATGAGTGAATTTTCTTATATTACTTCGGCAGCTTTAATTAGTTTAAATCTATGACCTCTTGATCTTGAAATTCCCGGTCTCAGGAGTTCTTCCCTATAAATTTTATCAATTCCTGTTGCTATTTTGTACGTAGTGATCACATCACCTTTTTTTCTTTTATCTTCTAATTTTGGCATATTTAACGTCTCTAACCTCTCCTTGAAGCTTTTGTCCTTCAGTTTCGGGAGCCATTTAATTGCATGTCTTTGCACCTTTTCCAGTTTGTTGATGTGCTTCTTAAGATATGGGCACCATACAACCACTGCATATTCCGGCTTTGGTCTAACAAAAGTCGTGAACAATTTCTTCAGTATTTTGCCATCATGTATTTAAAAGCAATTCTGAAAGTTATAAAGTGTAGCAAAAGCTCCTCACACAATGTTCTTTATGTGGTCCTCAGGTGATAGTTTTCTATCTAGAACCACCCTTACATCTCTTTCTTTGTCAGAATTCTTTAAATATTTCTCATATTATTTATAGGTTGTGTGGGGATCTATGTTCTCCAATTCTACATTCAATAACATGGCAATTATTCGCATTAAATTCCATTTGCCAAGTGGTGCTCCATACACTTATTTGTCCAGGTCTTCTTGTGGGCATGACGATCATCTAAGTTTCTTATCCTTCCTATTATCTTAGCATCATCAGCAAACATGTTCATATAATTCTGTATTCCATCTGGTAGCTCGTTTATGGAGACAATGAACATTACCGGTGCAAGAACTGAACCCTGTGGTACTCCACTTGTCATATTTCTCCAGTCCGATACATTGCCTCTGATTATAATGCTCTAATTTTTCTGTCAGAAAATTCTTCATCCATTTTAGAAGCTTACTTGTCACTCCTTCAATATGTGCCAGTTTCCAGAACAACCTCTTATGTGAAACTGTCAAACGTCTTCTTTTAGGTCCAGATAGATGCAGTCAACCCAACCATCTCTTTCCTGTAATATCTCCGTTGCTCGATCATAGAAACTGAGTAAATTCGATACACAGGATCTTCCAGATCGAAAACCATACTGTCTGTCTGATATTATATCATTTCTCTCCAGGTGTTCTACCCATTTAGTTTTAATTATTTTTTCCAATATTTTGACTATTACACTTGTCAATGATACAGGTCTATAATTAAGGGGGTCTTCCCTGCTTCCACTGCTGTAGATTATCAGGAAGATCATTTATGTACATCAGAAACAGGACAAGTCCAAGTACAGAATCATGTGAAACTCTGCTGGTTATATCACGTCATTCTGAGGTCTCACCTCCTCACAGTAACTCTTTGCTTCCTGCCCAAACACTTGGGCCGGACGGTAGAGCGATGGTCTCACTTCATGCAGATCAGCATTCAATTCCCGACCATCCAAGTGGTTGGGAACCACTTGGAGGGTCATCACAAGCAATGATGATAACTAGATTGCATATTGCAAATTGGACAGGCTTGCAAATGGGTGGCTAAACAGTAGAGTTCACATATGAAAATGACATATTGGAAATGAAGTTTGACTCTTCAATGACACTGAAGAGCCATGTGTTTAACCTAGCCCAAAAGGCAGCCAGGAAACCTACAGTTCATTTCACAGCTTCTTGACAGCAGAGGCGGCAAAACATTATATGAAGCACAAGTTTGCTCTCATCTTTTTTTTGTTTCTTTTCTTTTTCTTTATATATATTATATTATTTATATATATATATATATATATATATATATATATATATATATATATATATATATATATATATATATATATATATATATATATATATATATATATATATATATATATATATATATATATAATGTTGTACCTAGTAGCCAGAATGTCATAATTGGCTTACTATGCAAGGCCCATTTTGCCTAATAAGCCAATTTTTCCTGAATTTATATATTTTTCCAAATTTTTCTTATGAAATGATAAATCTGTCCATTTCATTATGTATAAGTTAATTTGATTAAATTTGAGTTAAAACTAACGTAGATATATGACCGAACCTAACCAACCCTACCTAACCTAACCTAACCTATCTTAACCTAACCTAAATTAACACAACTAAGTCAATAAATTATGGTCTTAATATTAAATAATAATAATAATTCA